ATGAAGACTTAGACACAGTAGAAAGGTAACTAACACTGTGGTTGACAAACACACACGCACAGGCTTGGCTCTGTCTTCTTTGTCTATTTTAAATTTCCTCAATCAAGTTTAATAATATAGGTATAAAGTTAAAAATAATGACCAAAGTATTAACTTAGTTGTCTTTGGGTAAAACATACCTGTATTTTATTGAATTCTCATCTGGAATGAGGTATGCGAGCAGTTACTGTAAAGTCTTGCTATTAGAAGAAATGGTTCCTAACGTTTGAGGAATCCCATCTTTTCCTATGCATTTTTCCAAGTCTAATCAAGGGCCTGTCTATTCCAATGCTCATTTTAATCTTTCACTTTCTAAAATACTTAGCAGTTCTAAAAATTGAAACATCATTCCTTTGAATGCCTTTTTCCTTTACTGGAAATTCTAAGTGATATTAGAAAGCTAAGTCAATCTTTAAATTTTCTTTTCCCCCTTTTATTGAAAATAGATTGTTTTCTCATACAATATATGCTGGTTACAGTTTCCCTTCCCTCTGCTCCTCCCAGTTTCTCACCATCAACCCTCCCACCTGGATCCACTCCTTCTCTGTTATTAGAAAAGAACAGACTTCTAAGAGGCAACAACAAAACATAACAAAATAAATATAGAAAGAAAAAACAAACCTACCACATTGAAGATGGACAAGACAAACCAACAGAAGGACAAGAGCTCAGAGAGAAGGCATAAGACTCAGAGATCCACTGGCTCACACACTTGGGAGTTACTTAAAAATACTAAAACAAATGATATAATACATACACAAAGGATATATGAAAAGGACCTGGTGCAGACCTGTGCAAGCTCTGAACTTGCTGTTTCAGTCTCTCTGAGTTCATATGAGCTTTGTTCAGTTGATTTAGAGGATCTTGTTCTCCTGGTGTCCTCCATCCCCTAGGGCTCTTACATTTTTTTTATTACAAACCTGGATGAATATTTTCACCTCAGTCAAACCTTTATGAATATGTATTCAGAGGTTTCTCTTTTTTCATTTTATATACCAACCACTGTTCCCCCTCCCTCCCCTCCTCCCACTTTCCCCCCACCTCTCTCCATTCCACCCCCATCCACTCCTCATAGGGTTCCAGATGGCCTAGTTGGGGGAAGGATAGAGAGGGAGAGCAATGAAAGAGATATCTTGACAAAGTGAGCCATTATGGGGTTAGGAATAAATCTGGTGTTAGGGAAATCCCCAGGAACCCACAATGACATCCCCAGCTAAGACTCATAGCATTGATGGAGAGGATATTTAAACTAGCCTCCCCCTGTACTTAGATTGGTGACTACCCTAATTGTCATCATAGAATCTTACACTTTTTCTGCCTCCTTCTCTGCAGGGTGCCCTGAAATTGGAGGGGAAGGATTTGATGACTATATCTCATTTAGAGCTGTGTGTTTCAAGGTCTCTCTCTCTCTCTCTCTCTCTCTCTCTCTCTCTCTCTCTCTCTCTCTCTGTCTGTCTCTGTTTTTCTCTCTATCTCTCTGTCTTTCTTGCTCTGTCCACCCACATGCACACGTGTGTGTGTGTGTGTGTGTGTGTGTGTGTGTGTGTGTGTGTGTGTGTAATGTCTGGCTGTGGGACTGTATTTGTTCCTATCTGCTGCAAGAGGAAGCTTCTCTGATGATAGTTGAATAAGGCACTTATCTATGAATATTGCAGAATAGAGTCATTTTTATTACTACATAGTTAAGACCAATCGTACTTGGAATTACCCTAGGTCTTTGGGCTCTCTAGTCTCTGGTTCTTGGTCACTCAAGCAATGTCAGGTATGGGATTCTCCTTGGAGAGTGGGTCTTAAATCAAATCAGACATTATCTTGTTACTTTTACAAGCTTTATGTCACCATTGCCACAGCATATTTTGCAATCAGAACAACATTTTATATCAAAGGCTTTGTGTCTGTGTTGTTTATGTTTCTTGTTTGGTAGTCTGCAGAGTACTTTCATGTACCAAAGACATTAGAATGTAGGGGGTGAAGGTTCTATGTAGGCACTAGCTTGACCTCTTCATGTTTAACAAGTTTTGTTGGTGTTGTCTTTAGCAATGGGACTATGTTGTCTTGCTATTTACTTGTTGCTATTTATCTTGTTGTGGCTATTGTAAAGGGTGATATATCTCTGATTTCCTTCTCAGCTTCTTTGTCCATTGTATATAGGAGGGCTACTGATTTTTTTGAGTTGATCTTGTATCCTGCTATGTTGCTGAAGGTGTTTATAAGCTTTATCAGTTCCTGGGTGGAATCTTTGGGGTCACTCAAGTATACTATCATCTCA